TACCCGTGCCTGCTTTTTTACAGTGATACAGATAGTATGCAATTGACTAAGTTCCTTGCTTGCTCTGACATACTGCATTTACGTGGACTTTTTGATGTGGTTAATCTAACCCCCCCCCCACTTTTCCGTCTTAATTGCAGAATATTGGCGGCAGAACGCAGTCCTTCCTGCGACACGAAACAGAATCTGAGGCCTTTGTGCAGCTTCAACAGCGCTGTGAACATTTAGAGGGAGAGTTGCAGGCAAAGGACGCGGAAATTACCCGTCTACAACTGCAGCATTCTGCCGACATGCATGAAACTGAACAACTCAAAAAACGCCTTGTAAGTGCACCCATTCAGATAGGTTCATTTTGCTGGCTCGGCTTCTTGCCCTAGGATTGTCCAAAAATGGGGTGCTATTGTCTTAGCGTACCAGGTAAACTCACTGGAACCATGGTAAGTTGAGCTGACGGCGCGATCTCTTACTTCACTTCACGTCTACCGACGCGTATTTCTTATCTCCTAGTTTGCGTGTTAGTGGCCGTCCGACGTGAGATCTCCATGTCGGACCACCTACAGCGGTTAGCCGATGGTGATGCATGTAGCGGAACCCAAGTCAGTCATTTGAATGACGGCTGAATGCGCGTGTTTAATTCTACTCCCCCCCCCCTAAAATTGCCTTTGGGTGGTCCAAAGGTTTCCATGGTTTTCTACTTCTCTTGACTGTACTTAACACTAGATGACTGCTTTGTGAATTCGACTTTGGTACATCGACCAGTTTTGGCGCCGGACTACTCTGAAATACGACACGGTATCTGCGCTTCTTGGTCTGCATTGTGGACTGCCAAGCAAGTTTTTGGCAGAGCAGTACTGTTTGAAAGTAAACTTGTCCTTCTTTGGCGATACCTAGAGCCCGCATTCGAAAAGTTGTGCTAGAGGCGATGAATACTTTCAGGGCCTTTAAGTCTTTTGGGTGACGCGACCGAGTACACATCGAACGGAATCTATATTTATGAGAAAATGCTTTAAAAGACGAAAAGTCTTTAAATATTTGCCGAAATTTCAAGGACTGTCTAAAAGTAGTCAACTACCATAAATATCTGTGATAAAATTTGACGAGGCGAAGACTATTTTATCATGCACAAAATAGTATGTTCGCGATTTCATCTGACAATTTTGTTTACATTTATTGGTCACAGTTACGGCGATTTTTCACGTTTTCGGGCTCTAAAGCTTCTTGAAAAAAGATGGTATTTCTAATCAAACTATTAGAACGTTTTACGTTTCCATTAAGTCTTAAATTCGCCCAAAGTTGTTCATTAGGGATTCTTTATAAAGAACATCACAGTAACAAGACACTTTTGTGTGATAAGGGACCGGTGGTGATTGGAGTTTTATGTGTGGATATATCAAAGCAAAGAAGGAATAATTAAAACGGTAGAGAATATCAAAGCAATAGATAATAAGAACACGTTTTTCAACAAAACCGTGTGTTTATTAAAATAAGAAATGCAGCCAACAGAAAATAGGAACTGCGTAAATCGTCCCGCTAATCGTCAACAACTGTATATCGATTGTTTATCGAATTTTCGAGATTAAGGTGAAACTGTGAAAGGGGCTTTTCCCCCATTTTTTTAAAGCTCAATAGCTTCTGATGCATTTGGACAGAAAGCCGAAAAGCAACCACATGTCGCCAAAGTTTAAGCACATACGTTAATGCTGGTTTGCGAGGGATTATCAGTCTTCGTAAATGTCGGTACTTTGCATCAGATAGCTCTCATAACGTATTCTTAGAGCCAGCTAACGGCAGACGATTTCGGTCAAATATCAGCATTCCGATTTTCAGGAATGGATTGAACAATAGTTACGTTGCCGTATATCCGTCCGTTCGTGGAGGAATAGCAAAAGCCTGCTTATGCCTTTCAGCAAAATAGAAAGCAAACTTTTTTTATATATTGCAACTGCCGCTACACAGTTAAGTTTTGTCATGCACCCATTGTCTTTCAGGCTACTCCCAAACAGGAAGACTCCTGCCAGACATCACCCATATCGCTGCCGTTACAGGAAAGCGGCCACTCCGTCTCTGATCGCACTGA